AAATATATACTTTGAAATGAAATCATTTCTAACATAAATATTACAACATTTACTTCTTTAAGAGTTGTGACAAAACTTCTGTTGAAAAAGCTGCTTGATAATGCTCTCCGAGTCAATTTAAATCAAATATTTTAGAGCGTGAGCAGCCTTCAATATTTTATTTTCATCATGAAATTTACACCAAACACTTAGAGACATTTGTATTAAACGCTATATAAAAATTAAATATTATTATTATTATTATTATTATATCCATTCCAATATATTGATCATCATCTCTATTGAGCTGTTCATCTCATGTTCCCTAAGCTTCTGCATTTCTTCCTAAAACTCTTTATTTTTAAAGAATATCCATCATATTAAATTAATTCTATAACACAATAAAAAATGCTTTCAACATATTGAAAAACACAAAACAATTAATGTTAAGGGTTTTATATTCTAACTATCATTAAATATTCTTCTTTTTTTCCCCTCTTTTTTTTTTTTTTTTTCTGTTCAGCAGCATTAGACCTTACAAAAGTTTGCATTTGAATATATTACTGACATGAGTCTTCCTCTTGGGGCGATGGGGCATATTAAGTCTTTGAAAGAAAATGATCAATGAAACACAAAGTATTCTTTGATTGCCCTTTCTTGATAAATGGGGATAACCTTAATGTTGCATTACTACATGCATTCATGCTACATATCTTAAAGAATGTGAATGAGTTGCCGAAAAATAGATATTAAAAATGAGTCAGAAATAGCCATTCTATCCAATGGCACCTTTGATATGGTGGTCTGAACAATTAAGACAAATCAAAAGCACCAGAGAGATCGAAAGTAGTTTTACTGGGGTTAAACTAAATCTGTCCTGTGTCAATTAACTGTCCATGCTATTTCCTTTTCTACTTTTCACGTCTGCAGCCCTCTATTTTATTTCAACACAAAAACACTCATTTCACCAACAGCTATTCTTCAGGACATACAGAAGTACATTCTTTTGTAATCACACATCTTGAAGTATCCTAAACACACACCCACTTGCGTTCTCTCCTGGGTATGGAGTGGCAAAAGTAGCATTAAGGTTACTGCTGAATTGCAAACCTAGGTAATTTGATCTAATCCATGACATTTATATCAGTTGAAGGTAAAATACACATCAATTCTAGTGGTGCAACATATACTCGACCTATGAACAAAACTTTGGTTAAAAAAGTAAATCTCTCTAAAAGCTCATTAAAATATGAAGAGATGGCAACAATTGAAAAAAAATTAATAATTGCAACTGCGTGCTACAAAGGTATATAAGTATGTATGTACTCACTCAGACGGAACTCTCTTTTTTGCATACTACCGTTACATGACTTTGTCATCATAAAAACTATTATTTACTACATCAAAACGCAACATCATTATCACTTGTGTTGGTAGAGATCACTGTGAAGTGTTAAATGATGTTAGTCCTCAAAGTAAAACAAGAGACCCATCTTCATTCATTTCTGGAGATTCACAGATGGTGGAACAACAGATGACACAAAGACAACATCGAGATGAACAGATTGAGATGGAAGTTAGTCAAGAGTTGTTGCAGAGCAAGACAGCGAGCGGTGCCTGGGTGAGTGATGAAATCGTTAGTTGAAAGAGGGTTACCGGTACACATTAGACAACGCTGGAGGGAGGAAACCACCAGTGATGCAGTCCAGAGCCGGGGTTCCAGATGGAGAGACCAGGATGAAGACCTTTGGTTAGGACCATTCAGTGCAAGGTCTACTGGTACTCTTCCTCTTCTCTCTCTCTTCCTCTATCCTTCTCTCTCATTTTCTCTTACTCTCTCTCTCTCTTTCTCTCCCCCCCTCTCTCTCCATGTATCAATGTCTTTCCCCCTATCCTTCTCTTTTCGCATTCTCTTGCTCTCTCTCTCTCTCTCTTTCCCTCCCTTCCCATCTCTAGTCCGTGAGATCCAGGACCCCCAAACTGAGATCGATCTGGACTGCATTACTGGCACACACCGATTAAGACGAAGAAGATGATGTTATGATGGAGACGGTGGTGGTGCTAAAGCGAGCCTGGGTGAGGCCGAGAGAACACAGTTCAGGCTATTGCTGTGACAACATTGTTTGCATGGTCCTTACTATCACTGCTGAGTTGATCACTGATGGCCGACCCTGATCCATAGAGGGGCATCACCTCCCCCTTCTCAATCCGCGAATCCCTTGAGATGGGTATCCTAAGAAGGTCACTCACAAAGACCGCCTTGAAAAAAAGAAATGAGAAAAACTCAAATTGAATTTAATTGAATCATTATTGTCATGCACAAATAAAATGAAGGCATGAAAATAGTCTTGCAACTCACATTTGTATAAAATATAACAGTACATTAATATATCATAAATAAATAACTACAGATAACATAACAATGTAATATGAATTTAAATTAATCTCTCTGTTGAGAGCCAGGAGTTATTTGTATTATTTGTATTCCCCTGGCTCTCAACAGACAATACTAACTTAAATATATTCTAGAAAAATGTTCATGACAGCAATCAATGACATATAAATAAATAGAACAAATTGATAATCACAGCCAAGATCTAAAATCAATTATTCATCAATTATTAAACATTTCAGATAAAAAATGTATATTTCTGGTAGCAGACGTAAACTAACCGTACATCATACTGATGTCAAAGAGAAGAGACAAGAGAGAAAGAGTACTTAAAGTGTACCATACCACACACAAACAAAAATTGCTCTGTAGGCTAAGGTTTCCATGGAACTTTTCTGTATTCAAAATATGTGCTTCAAATAGTACTTGTGGAAAGACTCTCAATTAACAAAGAAGCAACTACTCCACGCACTCATACATAATCACTTATAAAAGGGCATTTTGAATAGATTTTTACAAACTCATAACTTTCTCTTTGTTTGACCAATCTGATTTTCTTATTTTCCTGCTCCAATCACACATGAAAGAGTAACTTGAACAAAAGACTTCAAATGAAGGTAACATACCACCAAGATGGCTACTACTAGACCCAGGATACTGCCAGCGAAGACATCGCTCCAGTGATGCTTGTAGTCCGATACTCTAGAAAGACCAACCAAGATGGCCGCCAGGGCACCGGCTAACTGCAGGAAAGGCCTGAGAAGGGTATCTCCAAATACTTCTGGTATCATTCGTGCTTGAAGATAAATCTGAAATGATTAGACATACTTATAAATGATAATCATTGATACCGGGAATTTGTTTCATTATCTTGATTTCGTAGAGGCAGGGGTGAAATCTGTCAATTACTTTTACTTCTGTCAAGCATTTAAAAATATTATTTAGTCAATTGCTATATAGAATAGAAATAAAAGTAATACAAACTAATTAAAATTAAACACATTGTAAAACAATTTAGTTTTTTTAATAATATTTCTACTTTCTGAAAGGCTGTAAATATTAGCAGATTCTAAGGCATTTACAAAACAGCAACTTGAAAATGTGATTTGTGTTTTATATTTAAGCATGACAATGACTGGCAAAAAAAATCTGAAAATTTGTATTTTCTCATCCTCATTCATGCATTCATTCCCTTCCCCAATATTCTTCAAATATGTATCAGCTTAATATAAACTTTGCATATTGGATGTGATTCAAAGGTGGTAGTAGAAATCAGGTTGTATTGTGCTTCCCTGGAAGTGGGAATTCCCACTTGCTTCTGCAGGTTGTTTTTCTTATTTCTTACTTGCATGCACTGGCTTTCTCTCTCTCTCTCTTTCCCTTTCATGATGCTCTAACTCGTTATAACAGTTCATGAACGGTTCTTTCGTTTCAGTTATCTTGCTCCTGACTGAGTATAAAGATTAAGATTGTCATTTCTCTGGAAGGTCTTTCTGGGCCTTACATGATTTACACTCTATCAGAGAATTTGAAGTCATACACTGGAACACATTATAATTCAACTGATTTGAAGGTAAGATTTGTCATGTGAATGAATTAGCATACATATTTGTCATGTGAATCAGCATTTAATCATTAACCAATATTCTTCAAATATGTATCAGCAAAATAAATATTATGTTATAAATTCAGTATTGGATGTATCAGGTTCTAAAGTGCTCCCTCGGGAGTGGGAATTCCCACTGGCCTTGTTTTCTTTTTTTAAGTGTGTTTCTATTCACCTCCTCTACATGCTGTTTTTTGATTTTTCAATGCAATAAAACACTTGTTTTGTTTTTTACTATTTCTCTCTCGCATGCTCTCACTTCCTCTCTCTCTCTCTCTCCCTTTTATGATACTCTAATACGTTACAAGTTACAACAATCAATTTGTTGCATACATTATGTGATTGGTGAGTTAAAGATAAAGACCAGTTATGGTCATGCGATTGCATTGTGAAAGAAACGTTGTGGTGGAATCGATCAGAAAAGGTTGATCATCTAGCATATAAGTTTTGGTGTGTACTGCAAGGTTCTGGAATCATCAAAATGATAAGAAATTTGGCCCAGTATTCGTAAAGTTATAAGCACTGTACACAGAAAGATGTATATGGGACTACGCACACGTGCGTTTATCTCTCACATGCTAATAGATAAACTAATTTACCAAATATATCAATTAGTAGGCGGTTTCCCGGCAAAATTTTTATCATCATGTATTAGTAACACATATTCTTTCACATGATTGGTAATAAGAGCTTCCATTTCATTTTTTTGAAATAGGGGCATTTCCAATACTGGTCTTTACCTTTAAGGGAATAACAATCTTAGTCAGTCAGGGCCCGGCCCCCCCACTCAGTGTTATTTAGGGTACGCATATGCGTGTTCCAACCGACCCCCCCTTTTCAGCAAATGTCCGGTGTGTAAAGTCAATACGGCTCGACCTTTTTCTTTTGTATACGAGCCTTTTTCAGCATCCCCCCCTTTTCAGCAAAAGTCCGGTGTGTAAAGTCAATACGGCTCGACCTTTTTCTTTTGTTACGAAAAGGACATTTTGGCAACACGCATGCGGTCATTTTGAAACCTGAGTGGGGGGGCCGGGAGTCAGGGGCAAAAAACTGAAATGAAAAAACCGTTCATGAACTTTGGTTTTATGATAATCCATAACCATCCAATCACGAATGCGTATTTTGGTCATGGATATGTTATTTAATCAAAGTTCATGAACAGTTCTTTCATTTCAGTCATCTTGCTCCTGACCGAGTTTAAAGATTGTCATTTTCTTTGGAGGATCTTTCTGGGCCTTACCTGATTTACACTCCATCATAGAAGTCATAGACTGGAACACATTATAATTCAACTGATTTGAAGGTAAGATTTGTCATGTGAATGAATCGACATTTATACATATTTTCTCCAAAAGGCTCGTCTGTTATCAAAGCAACGGCTAAACTGCATTCGTTCACTCCATCAATATTCTTCAAATACATTTCAGCTTCATTATTCTATAACTTCCGCATTGGACGTGATACAACGGTGGTAGTAGAAATCAGATTCTATTGTGCTTCCCTCAGGAGTGGAAATTCCCACTGGCCTTGGTTTTAGGTGATCTGTTTGATTTGTTTTATTGTGTTTTTAATCACCTCCTCTATAGGTTGTTCATATTTTGCTCAATGCTGTAAAACATATGTTGTTTTTCCTATTGTTCTCTATTCCTTTCATGATGCTCTAACACGTTATATCAATCAATTCGTTGTTATAATTATTTTCAACCTACCGATAACGTGTGCGTATTTGGGTAATGTATATATGTCATATTAACACAGTTCATGAACGGTTCTTTCATTTCAGTTATCTTGCTCCTGACCGAGTATAAAGATTGTCAATTCTTTGGAGGATCTTTCTGGGCATCACATGATTTACACTACATCAGAGGATTTGAAGTCATAGACTGGGACACATTATAATTCAACTAATTTGAAGGTAATTAGATTCATGTGAATCAGCATTAAATTTGTTTTCCTACTTTCCGAAAGGTTAATTACGATAGGCAGAATTCATGGCACTTACAAAGAGCAACTTGAAAATGTGAATGTTGTTTTAGATTAAAACATCCACAAAATTTGATAAAATTTTACTTTATGCATCTATGTACATTCACTCTCTCTACCAATATTCTTCAAATATATATCAGCTACTTTATGATATAACTTCAGCATTGAACGTGATTCAAAGGTGGTAGTAGAAATCTGGTTTTAGTGTACTTCCCTAGAAGTGGGAATTCCCTCTGGTCTTAATTCTGTTTGTTGTTTTCCTATTTCTCTCTCGCAAGCCCTGGCTTTCTCTCTCTCTCTCTTCCTTCCGTGATGCTCTAAAACGTTATAACAGTTCGTGAATGGTTCTTTTATTTCAGTTATCTTGCTCCTGACCGGACTGAGAATCAAGATTGTCATTTTCTTTGAAAGGTTTTTCTGAGCATCACAAGATTTACACTCTATCAGAGAATTTGAAGTCATAGACTGAAACACATTATAATCCAACTCAGGCTGATTTGAAGGTAAGATTTGTCATGTGCATCAGCATTAAATCAGCTTTTTTCTAATACGTTTCAAGAAAATGTTCTGACAATACAAATTAATAAGACCCTGCAAAGGTCCCTGCGGTGTATGTGAACGCCTCGTGGTTAAACAAAAATTTAAGTTTACTTGAAGTTACAAATCAAGAGTGATCATAATGTTAGCACAATAACTAATAGCAGAGCGGGGGGGGGGGGGGGGGGGGGGGGGGGGGGGTCCTAACTCAAGGTTGTGTGCTATGCTGAAACAATTAATTTTTAGCTTTGCCAGCTTGTAGTTAAAGATAAAGGTGAGTTCTGGTTAAAAAAAAAAAAGTGAATTCTCACAGAATCAAACGAAACTTACACTGAATGTTCAAGATTATAAATAAATGTCATTTGCCAAACAATTTTGGAAGAAAATATATACTGGCTGATCGAGTAATGAGCATAGAAAGATTAGGAAATCAAGGTTGGTAGCCCCCGACACCATCTGTGTAGACCCATATACATCTTTCTGTGTACAGTGCTTGTTACTTTACCAAGACTGGGCCAAATTTATAATGATTTTGAATTGTTGATGACTCCAGAACTTTGCATTACACACCAATACTTACATGCTACATGATCAACCTTTTTCGGATCCATTCCACACGTTTTCATTCACAATACAATTGGATGACCAGAACTCACCTTTATCTTTAAAATGAATGCTTTCCCTGCCTTTAGTTTGAAACTTTGAACACTTTTTGTTTCGGTCTTGTCGATTGTTGTTTATAAAGTTTAGCAAAAACTTCAGGTTTAAAACTGCGACTGAATTGTGTGAAGAGAGCTACTATACGGTAATTCAAAAAGGGATACTTACAACCCAGTATGCGAAAAAGTAGAACGCAGAAGACGCGTGTCCTGATGGAAATGATAATCTGGAAAGAAAGGAAAGGAAAAAATTGTAAATATGGAATGTGTTGGAGGATTAACATACCACCTTTATCATACAAAGTTTTAATGTGCACAAAATGCAGAATAGGGATTATATTCCATGTAAGGATTTACATAATTTTCCTCACTATCATAACTACTAGTTTTATGCAACTACAATTCATTATGAACTGAATTTTGGAAATTCATAACAGTGGCCATTTTTGTGGAAGGGAACTATTGCAAATGCCACAAATGCTTTGTTGACTTTCACCAAGTTGTGTCATGATATTTTGGAGAATCTCGACAACTCATGTAGTTCATAAAAGCCAAATGCTCAAATATACAAGCATAACTCTCCAATCAAGGGCTGACATGTACTTCGAATCATCAGGTTATCAGGTAGTCGTGATCAAACTTTTGTGAAAACATGCCTCTTATAGTCACGAAATGTCAGGGGTAATGTTTGTGACAAATGGTCTGGTCTAATTTACCTGACTCTCTACAGAAAATCCTACAGCAAATCTACGAAAAGTCGCATCATCTTCTGTTTTCGTTTCACAAAAGGTCAGGTAACGCGTCCGGACGTGATGACGTGATGATTCGAAGTAAGCCCTAATTAAGGACAATCTGAAACAAGTTTATAATGTTTTCAATTCCTCAGCGATATGGCAGGCCAAGAACCATTCATGGGTCAACAGTTACACTGCATTTCTTTGAACAGTCAAATGTTAGACAAGGAATTACCACGATCCAAGCGTAACTGTCACCTGGTGGAGATTTTGCAACACAGAGAATTGATATTGCTGCAAGATCAATACAATCAAGGAGATCAGAACTGGCAATGTATCTTCCTTCCTTTCAATTTTCCATTTCTTCAAAGACAGGAAGTTTGGGGGCACACAAGAAATTGCTCATGCAGAATTTAGGAGAGAGAGTTTCTCTAGGTGAACTCCAGGATTATGCCAAACAGGTAACTAAAAGAAAAACTCAGTGGGTTTGGGCTCCTCAAAATCGTTTAGCTTACTGGAAGGACAAAGCAATACATGGATATGATGTAATAGAAGTCTTCCAAGATATACATGTAAGCCAGGGAGCTAGAGGGAGACTTGTGAGAGGAAGGGAAGGACAAAGACCTCCCAATAATACAGGGCCCGCAGAACGGCATCCGGGCTTGGCACGGAGCGGCTTGGCTCGGGGGTCTCGAGACCCCCCACCTTTGTGAAAAAGTATGTTAAAAACTTACATTGGAACGCATATCAAAGGCCTAATATACAAGGGTCCCTCTAGGTCAAAAAACTTGGGGGCCCCTAGGGACCCCTGAGCTGGCAGAACAAACAAAAATGGGGGGGGGGGGGGTTCCCAAGCAAATATTGAGGGGCCTAATTAAGGCCCCGGCAAAAAAACTCAATTTTTTTTTTTCAAGCTAAATGCGAGACCACATTTACTTAAGAGCGCAATTTAGTGAAAAAGCCAATGCGAGAAGTAAAAACATGAAACCATCGTCAAGCATGTCAGCAAAGTTTCTGAATTCAATAGTATGTGGATTTATAACATCAGTTCCGTAAAAGCAATCGTAAAAGCCTAATTTGTTCAGAATATTACACTTTTATCGCCAGAATCGGTAAAAACACTCCTTTCAGTTATACAGGTGCGCAGAAGATACGAACTGTCAATCAAAATTTTCATTTATTAGCGTCATAGATGGGTCGTTACTGTGTTACACTATATGGGCAGATTGGGTAGATATGTAAATAATTGAAATTATTATCAGTTATTGATGCGAAAATGATTCTTCTCCAGCTTCCGGAAACACACCTGGCAATTTTTGTGGTGTCTCCTCACTACAAAATTTGTGCATGAGATACGGGTTTTGGTTAGTCCGGGACGCAAAAACCCAACTTAGTACAAGTTACCCTTGCCTATTTATATTGCTCTACAAAACCAATCTGCCACAAACTTTAAAAATATATGAGAGGAAGAGGTGATATGGTACTTGCTTGTATTACATTATAAACAGAAATTTATTTTTCACCTATGAAATTTTCTAATCTTTAGCAAGTGTCTCATTTGAATTAAATATTGCTTCAGACCATGATTTACGTCATTATACAACAAGGGAAACGCTCTCGGCGGTCTCGCCTGCATAACGCAATTCAATATGAAAACCAGAACGTCAATGACGTAGCGCTCATCCGCATCTCACAACAACAAATATCGTAAATTTTATGTGGTACACTTTTGAACTGGTCAAAAAATAGAAATTTGATGCCCTGGAAGGGACATAATTTCATTTCATTTGCATAAAGTACCATAAATAATCAATGGAGCAAAATCTTACAATTCTGTGTAGAAGTTTATTGTTCCAAATTTAGCTCTACCAGATAAGGCAAAATTGGTCAAGAAATGAGGGAAAAGAAGCAATTTTTGTTATTTTTGGAATAAATTTGCATAAATTACCATAATTAATTAATGGAGAACAATTTCAAAATTCTGTGTAGAAGTTTAGTGTACCAAAGTTAGCTCTACGATATAAAGCAAACCAAATCAAAATCGGTCGAGAAATGAAGGAGAAGAAGCCTTTTTTGTGATTTCGAATAAATTTGCATAAATTAGCATAGATAATGAATTTCACGATTCTGTGTAGAAATTTTAAATCCCCTCCTAGCCCTATCATATGAAACAACCAGAATCAAAATCGGTCGAAAAATAACGAAGAAGAAGCATTTTGAAAATCTTAATGTTGATGCCACAACAAAGTCTCAGTTTGTTGACCTTAAATGGCCTTTGACCTTAACTTAGTGACCTGAAATTCTACTCACATCATTGGGGAGACTTGATAACCCTATAGTCCAAGTTTCATTGACTAAGAACTTATACTTTCAAAATTATATCAAAAATTCAAAAACTTAACCTTAGGTTAAGTTTTCGATGATGATGCTACAACATAGTCCAAGTCTGTTGACCTGAAATGACCTTTGACCTTGACTTTGTGATCTGAAATTCTACTCACATGATTGGGGATACTTGATTACCCTATAGTCAAAGTTTCATTGACTAAGAACTTATACTTTAAAAATGATACCAAAAATTCAAAAACTTAACCTTAGGTTAAGTTTTTGATGTTGACGCCGTCGCCGTCGCCGTCGCCGTCGCCATCGCCGCCGCCGTCACCGGAAAAAGCGGCGCCTATGTCTCGCTTTTTGCTACACAGGCGAGACAAAAATATAGTGACCTGCCAGAGTCACAAATAAGGTATCAAAATATGCTCATCTGACCGTAATAAAATGCCTAATTCAATTTGACCACTAGCATCAGGGCACATTTGTACCGGCACATAGAATAGGCGCGTCAAATCTCCTTTGCTGATAACAATAATTAGAAAATTACCCCTGACCAAAATTATAGTAATAATGGTCAAGAGGCCAAAATGATCAAAACATCATGACAAGGACTAACAAGACTGATATTTTTTTAATTACCGTAGCACAAAATTTACCCCTGGTAAGCTTTTCAAACCATCCCACCAAAATTCTGATTAAATCACCTTATAGCTAGCTCCTAGGGTACTACCTTATAAAAGTGCCACAGCTAAAACTTTTGTCAACTTTTTTCACATAATGCATCACATGAAATTGACTAAACACTGATGTCGCTAGACAGCGATTTGTAAATCCACTGTATTGATATGTACAGGGGAATTAGTTTGCGGGCACAAACCTGTATCAGTTGTAGTTTGTAACAGTGTATGAACTGAGAGACTATTCAGACTCCAAGGTCTAATGAACCCCATAGGCTCTGTACTGTAGCATGGCTAGCTAAGCTCTGCTCGAGACTTAATGGAATTATGTTTAAGTGTCAAATTAGAGTCTGTGCTCACAGACTACAGGGAAATGCAGGTGTGTGTAACAAAGCAAGTTCATTGAATATTTCTTATGATTACGCTATGAAAATAAGAATACAGAATTTTGTGTAATTAACCGTCTGATAAATTACAAGTACATTTTCAGTACTTTTTACATCTATCATTTCATAAAAAGATGGGATCATACCAGTACTAACTGGTGTGTAAAGGAATTCAGTAACTTCAGTAAATTTTTCAGCACTTTTGTAATAATACAAATTGTAACAATGTTATTGGTGGTGGTAACAAATACCTTTTGTTTGAACTCTGTATTTTTCAATATGTTTTTGTTGTAAAAGTTTACTGGCATAATGAATAAATAATGGGAGCGGGGTTATTTCATTAGATATTACAAAGCATTTGTATCATACGTTTTAACAATTTTGGTAAACAAATACTCTTGTGTTTAATTCCTGTATATTTGTTTTCTCTTTTATAAAACTGTGTACAGAAGCATTGTTATTGGTTTGGTAAACATAACATTTTCTTTTCTGAAAGTCTGCATGAGCACTTTTGTTGTAAAGTTTACAGGTGACGGTTGACAACTATTAAGTATATCTTTCATATTTTTAATTCTTGTAAATATATTATTCCTCTTTTACAACATTTAACAATTTTGATAAACAAATGCTTTTGTGTTTAATTCCTGTAAATATCTTTATCACTTTTATAACACTGGGTACAGTAGCATTGTTATTGGTTCGGTAAATATTACTTTTTCTTTTCTGTAAGTCTTTGTGACCACTTTTGTTGTAAAATTTTAGTGGTGATGGTTAACAAATATATCTTTCATTTTTGTAATACCTGTTAATATATTATTCCTCCGTAACAACATTACCAGTATGGGTAAAGAAATAACATTCTTATTGGTGTTGATTAACATATACAGTAACAACTAAATTTGTCATACCCTTCCAAGTTTTGACATTTTTAAAGTATGTATGTGGAAAATCAATTTCTCCCGACATAAAAGTTTCGAGAATGAAAAGAGAAAAGAGGACCTAATTCATTCAATCAGTCCATCTTTCATTCTTGAGTCATAAAAAAAAAAGAAACAAAAACATCAAATCTACAAGGGGTATAAAACGGATGAATGATTAAGATATCTGTGTCTTATTTTTTTTTTTTTTCTTTAATATATATGTGTCTTATTAATGTAATTTCTGTCTATATATTTTAACACTTCTGTACTAGTATAAACTGTAACATTAATAATGGTGTTGGTAAATAAATACAATTTTGTAAAATTTCTTTGAGTATTTTAAATACTTTAAACAACCATGTATGTTTCAGCTTGTTTATTAAAAACAAAATCTGCTTACAGATCTTTTTTTTTATGTTAATAGCACATCAATTGTCCATTATGTTAATTCTTCAAAACGTTGATTATTCAAAATGTCTTTTCTTTTTCTTGTAACCTTTTTAACATGTTATTAAATCTCCTTTATATCAGTTTTATTTCTCATTCACAACTCTCTGGAAGTCATCTCAATGACAAACCAATCAATCTTCTTTATAGATATCATTATACCCATTTCATCATGTAGATTGCAGGATGAAATTGATGTGATCTGCTGTTACAGCAGAAATACCACACATTTCAATCAGCATTAGATTTTAGGGCAAAGTGATCAGTTCCCAATAATGAACAAGCGCCCTCTCTTGAGAAGGTACTTCTCAGTTTAAAAATGAGACTTTTGTTGCAAAATTTGTCTCCATGGTGGTGAAAATGATCGAGGGTGACTGCCCAATCCTTGCACACTCATGCAGTTTTCTATCTTTGTTTCTTTCCGCCATTCCTCTTCCTTCCCTTGTTCCTTTATCTTCCATGTATTTTTCATTTCCCTTCTCTTATGTTCATATTCATATTCATA